CCCCGACACGTTCTGCTGCCAAACCCCGCACTGGCGCCGTCTGCTTTGGCCAGTCCAGGTCCTCTGCACCCCCTGCTACCAGGATCCGCCTTTCCTGCCACCCGACCATCTAGGCAGCAATTGGCCGCCGAGCCGCTGGTGACCTGTCGCTGTGTTTCAGCCCCGCAGGGCATGCTGGGCATCGCGGTGGGTGTCACCGTCACCCTGACCATGGGGCTGGTGCTGCTGGCTCTCCTAGCCCTGGTGCTCTGGTTGCACCACCAGAGCGTGCGGAAGTGGCCGGAGGAGGAAGTGGAGGATTCGTACAATGAGATCAGGTGAGCTCAAAGGCAGTGGGGGGCGGGAGGGGAGTGTGAGGATGAGAGGAGGGGTGAAAAAAAGCAAAGAGAAAGGCAGAGCAAAGCGGTGGGAGGAGGCATGAACTCCACTCCCAACAGGGGCACGTAGCTGCTTGATCTCCAGGGGTTCAGAGGTCTTGGGAAAGGGTGTGGGCAATACGGACGCTCTTCGAGAGACAAGGGATTAGACTGAACCCCGCTACGGCTCCTCTGCACCCCTCAACCGTTGGGGGTGCTTCCCCTTGCACCTAATCTATTATGATGGTTGCTGTGCACTGCTCCAGAGGTGGCTGCATTTCAGTGCTGGGTGAACTGATTCTTGATGTAGGGCCTAAGTCACATTTCCACTAAGGCCCCTACACCGCACTCTAGCAGCATACCCGTTATCCTGAAAGGGGCCTTAGAGTAAACGAGAATTAGGCCCCTTGGGGACCGTCTCAGAAGAGCTCAGAAACGCCGGGGGCGGAGCTCTTGAAAGTCTGGCTCCACGGTGTTCGTAACATCCTTTAGCTCCAGGCAGGGGGGAGTGCCAATAGGTTCAGGGTGCTGGAGCCGTATCAGCTCCCGGAGGGATCGAAACTCACAAGTCAGGCTCCCAAAATCCCGAGATTGTCTGAAAAAAACCATGCGATTTGATGACAAGTGTGTGGCTCTTCTCCTTCTGATTCCTGAGCCTTTCGAGGGCACATTTCCCGGCTTTTTCCTGAAACCAGCCATTTCTGTAAAACGTAAGCCCAGAGTGTCCTGGCCACAGGACTTCCAGGGAAACAGCAAAGAGCTGGGAGTCCTTTCCACGCTCAGGCTGTGTGAGTATTACCATGGACAGCGAAAAAGAAATTGCACCAGAGCCTCTGAGCTGCCCAGCCCTGCTGTGAGTGCCTGGGAGAGTCGGTCATTTGGATTTTCATTTAACCCACAGCCTGGCAGCAGGATAGAGACACAGCAGCGAGGAGGGATAGTCCAGGAATGAGCACGCTCTGGGGAGCCAGGACTCCTGGGTTCCCACCGGCTAGTGCAGGGGTTCTCACAACACACTTTTTGGTGGCCTCAGAGTGTGGCCACCAACCCTTGCTGGTGGCTACTCTGTCAAACCATCTCCCACGGCCCTTCATCCAGAGCCGGCCCCAGGGAAGATGGGTCAGGAACTCAGGAATCCCAGGCTCTCCATGCCCCGGCCAGATGGGAGTGGGAGAGCTTCCCAGAGGAGCGCCCCAGCGACCGAACGCCGCAGACGCCTCCGCTGACAAGTGCTGCCTCCAGCACCGTGCAGGCCTCCAAAGGCACTGCCTGGAGCCCCCCAGGAGCTGCGAATCCCTGCCGCCTGCCCTCGGTAACAGCTCTTCAGGAGCAACTGCTGGGGGCTGCAGGGAAGGGCTTTGCTCCCCCCCAATCTCCACCCACGCTTTGGAGGCTGTCGTGGCTGCGAAAATCTCCACTGGTGGCTGCATTTGAGAAACGCTGAGCTAGTGACTCTGGGCAAGTCAGTTTCCCCACTTTTTGCCTCGGTTTCCCCATCAGTACAATCCTGTCCCAGTGGCCAATCCTGCCATGGGGTGTGTCTGTGAAGGGCTGTTGGTTGGCCAGCATGCATGCTTGTGAACACACGTGCACACGCACACACACACACACACCCTCCCCAGGTGGAATCTGTGGGCAAAAGCAGCTTTTATCTGGTGTTTAAAGCCTTCTCCCCTCTTCTGTGGAAGGCTGGACAGGATCAGCCTGGCTCTGAGATTTCTGTGTGTTACCTGATTTTGTGCTGAACTGTTTGCAAAGTGGCCTGGCTGAGAAATGCACTAGGGACTGGAATAGCATAACAAACCAGGGTAAAGCAAACAATACGGGCTGGATGCAGGATTCGGGGGGGGGGGCGGGGGAGTGTGTCTCCGGCCCGTACCGTGCAGGAGGTCAGACGAGACGGTCAGAGTTGGGCCTTCTCTGGCCTTAACATCTATGGCTCAGTTACCTCCCTGTTGCTGTTTGCAGCCTCTGCCCTGTGTTGCCAAGTGAGTCTCATGACATGTGTTTTTCTTAAAGCCCCAGCAGCCGGAGTCCTGTGATTTTAGGAGACACTGCTCAGCTTTCACTGGGGAAAAAAAATACATTTCTGGCTTTTACAGTTGTGTAGAAAAGCTGGAAAATGTGACCCCGAATGGCTCAAAATCTACAAACAAAACCTGATACAGATGATTTAAAAAATATTGTATTATTATCATTACTTATTAGGTGTATTACGGTAACACCTGGGATCCCCAGTCCTGGACCAGGCCCCCTTGGTGTCAGGCGCTGTACAAACACAGCCCCCTTCCCCAAGGAGCTTCCAATCTGAAGGGAACAGGGTGGGGGTCTTAATTAGGGGTGCTCTCCCCTTGCAATCAGTGATGACCCCAGTACTGTGCTAGGGAAGCGAGGTTGGGGGGGGGACAAGGAGAGGGTGAAAGTGGGGTACAAAGTATAAGCCAAGAGCCAACAGCTGGCGCCCGACAGACCAATGGGGGTGTACGATACCGGTCAGCACACCAGACCGTGCTCTCCACCCAGCAGCAGCTTAGCTGGGGACAAGGGTTTTGTGGAGGGCTTTGGAGGTGTTTACAAGGAGCGTTCCCCATGTGAATGGGGCGGGAGGGGAGCGAGCACGAAGGGGCTTGCTTGGAAAATCTCACAGGTTTGAAGCAGCTGTGATTTTTTCGGGGGGAGGGCGAGGGATGTGATTTTGGC